GAACTGAAGCCAGGAGTTGAGAACTCACTCTAGTCCTATGTAGGTGGTAGGGACCCAACAACTTGAGCCATCACTGCTCCCTCACAGGGTTCATAGTAACAGGAAGTTACGTCAGGAGCCAGAGCTGGAGTCAGGAATTGAAATCAGGCCCTACAATGTGGAACACAGGCATCCTAACTGCTAGGAGAAATATATACCCCACTGCAAAGGCTTGTGAAGGTAACAAATGTTTTTATTCTGTCGTGTGTGGTCTTCACAAAATCCATGGGATGGAAAACAGTGGTATAAACATGTCATAAAATATATCTCAGTGCTTAGAGAATGAAGCCTCTCGTTAATGTGTAAATGAGAAAATAAGAGAATAAACATGCTTCTTTCCAACTATGAAAATTGTTAATTATTTAAATGTAGACTAATGAATATGAATACTGTTGCTACACAGCAAATAAACTTTGTGATTTCTTTCATTTTTGGTGAATGAGAGATACGTTTGGGAACTAAGAAAAGTACTGTTTGTGATATAGCACTTATGATTCATTTTGTGTTTAAAAAATAAGCATTTTTAAACTGAAAAAAGTGAGCTATTCCTATCATGGTAAATGTCGCCTTGTTCAACACATACTATGCTGTTCCTTTATTTTCTCTCCTTTTAAAAACCTGCCTGCATTTTAGTCACTAAATCAGAGAAAAGACAAATTAAAGATGAAAAAAGAATGAACTGTGATGGCCAAATTAAATTATATTGTCTGAAATGCATTTAGGCACTCATCCCGTCTTTTTTCCCCATTTTTCAAGGCCACTTCTAACCCTGAGAGTCACTCTGCTTTAATGATGTGCTGAATGGCTTGTTAGCCTCTTGGCTGTTTAGGTTTCAGTTAAGCATGGCAGGCCTATCTTAATTGACAGCGACTGGGTCCCAATTAATTGCAAATGGCCCTGAGAATTTACTTTTCAGCTAGTAAATCTCCATAAATTTTTAAATTATTTCTTCACTCTTCCAGAAACCGAATTTTAAATCACTGTTTACGTAAAGGGAAAAAGTTATTAGAAAGTCTCAGTATAATAGTTGATGTCTTGTCAGACACATATTAGCTGTGATTTCAGCAATACTTTCTATTATTAATCTTACTGCTAAATTATTAAAATATTCCTTGGGAAAATGCATCACTTCATTATGTCGGACTAGATCTATCGGTTTGAGATGGCAAGTGTATATGAAATCAGTAGGTTGTCACTCAGTTATGCAGATCCTACATAAATATTGCCCTGAATTAGGACAATTGGAGGATATTGCTGGAGGGGGCAGTGGATTTTTTTTTTTACATAAGCAGGGTGTGAAGCAATGTTGCCTGCTTCTGATAATTGGGTATGTCCAGGTTACCAGCTCAGGAATGGGTTGCAAGCCATCACAGCTTTTTCGTAGTTGCAAGGCTCAATGACCTTTCCCTACAATTAACCACTTCCTGTGTGAGTACTTTCAACCTCTATACTTAGGCCCCTATATGTGCCAATGCTTATTGTTGCGTGTGACTCAGACATGATATAAAGCCTCTCACTTCTTGATATCTAACTATTGTTTTTGAAGACCATAACACATTTTGAGAATGTAAAGCTTGTCCTGTAATTTCTGTCCATTTTAAGAGGTTTTTCCACTCACAGAATCCTCTATTATTTGCCCTTTCTCCCATATCAGCCATAAAATTTTCCTCCTACTTTTATTTATTTATTTATTTTATTTTATTTATTTTTTGACAGGCAGAGTGGACAGTGAGAGAGAGAGAGAGAGAGAGAGAGAGAGAGAAAGGTCTTCCTTTGCCGTTGGGTCACCCTCCAATGGCTGCCGTTCATGGCGCTGATCCGAAGGCAGGAGCCAGGTACTTATCCTGGTCTCCCATTTGGGCCATCCTCCACTGTACTCCCTGGCCACAGCAGAGAGCTGGCCTGGAAGAGGGGCAACCGGGACAGAATCCGGCGCCTCGACTGGGACTAGAACCTGGTATGTCTGCGCCGCAAGGCAGAGGATTAGCCTAGTGAGCCGCGGTGCCAGCCTCCTCCTACTTTTAAAAAACATACCAAATGTCCCTTCACCCCCCAAACTTATTTAGCTGAACTCATAAAAGTACCAGTAGAAAGTACTAGCAAAAAAGAGAAATATTCACAGGAATAGAGGAAGGGGAAGTGTAGGAGGTCATTGGTTTTCAACCCTTCCTTCCACATATATTTTAGATCAAAATTTATATAAGTGATAAGAGCCTGTAAAATGTTTTCCTAGTCTAATTTAGGTTGCATCCTTGCTTGACTGCTCACTTTGGCAACAGAGCAATTTATTAAACATATGCCATATTTGTCTATATTAGCTCTCCTTTCCCCAACATAAGCTGCAAAGAATCTCTCTCTTTGCTGTTACAGCTTCTTGCCATTCAGCATGTCTTAAAACCCTTGTTCCAAGCCCTCGCGACTCATCTGGAACCATGTGAATGTAGTTGGCTCCCTATTTATTATCGGTCATCTCTTGGGGGATAGTCTGTAACTTCTGCACTTATGTTAGAATATGGTCTGGGAAAGTGGAGCAGAGGTAAAATTCCAGTAGAGTTCTGTCTGTCTGATACAAGTTTTTCAACATGAATTTGGTCTCTGTTAGGAAGAAAGATTCAGTTTTAACGCTAAGTTGGAAATATGGGTATTCAGAATAAAGATATTTCCATTGGAATTTTTTTTCTGCACTTATAATCAAACCCTCATTAAGCCAATGAGATCACCTGGTAGTTACCCTGGAAGATAAATTCAGTACTATAACGCATCCAGCTGTGAATACTTAAGGAAACTTAAATGAATGCTCTTTGAAGTTTTTAATAAAAATAGGCTTTAATAATCAAATGAAAAACTTTGTAGGATTTGAGTTTAATGGGATGCTGTTCTAAATTAGAACAACTCATAGTTGAATTTTTTTTATCACTTGAATGTCTTTTGATTGTTTTTCTAGCCACAGCTGAGTGTAGCAATTCTTTTCTAAAGATATTTGAGGGTTTGCAAAACTTTGCTTACAATGGGAACTTAAACAATTACATGTTTGAGTGTAGTTAGTAGATCTCCTAAGTAATTATATGTTTAAATCTACAGAATGAGACTCTGGTATTTAGTAGAAGGCTCAGCAATATGATAAATCTATAAATTTAACTCTTTGTTAAGCTTGTATTTACTTGCATAACACTTTATTTTTCCTTGGAAAGTGTCTGTTTTCATTCTGTTCTGAGATTTGTTTCATCTTCCTTTAATATATTTTTTATTTAATCCAAGGATTAACTTTACTATGTCCTTTCACCTTTTTATTCTCAAAAGACTACAAAATTTTCATGCTGTTCTAAATCTTACAGCACTGAACTGAGCATAAATGGAATTCCAAATAAGTAAATGCATAATCCATCACCTCTTTCAGGGGTAGCCAGATCGCAAAGAAAGTTTATTCTTTGCTGTCAGGGTTTTTAAATATACATAAAATTTTCATTGAGGCATTGGGAATACTTTATTAGGTTTTATTGTTTTCTGAGAATCCCCTATTTTTATATAAAATGATATGTCATGTGAGCAGAATTTTGTTCTTCCTATTGTTTTGCCACTGGGCCATTCCAGAGAAATATCTTCCTTTCTCAAAAGCTATATACATTTGCTTGGATTGGAGTTCTAGGTCAGCAGCAAGTTACTCAACACTAGAGTTTCAGATAATAGGTCCAATGCCTTCATCTTACAGAAGAGAGGTTGACACTTACAAAGAAAAGTAACACATCTAAGGTAACAAAAGAGCTTGGTGTTCATTCAGGTATAACCTGATTCCTGTCATCTTGGAAGTTTTCTGTACTCATTGAGCACTTATTGCATACCAAGGCTGTGATATTTTTACATCCTATGTATTTCTCTTCAGTCTTTATGACTGTAAACTTCAGAGTACATACTCTGCACAAAGCTCATTAATAGTTATTGTTCATGTAAACTTTTTTAAAGCAACATTGCACACAAACAAATGAATAAATGGCAATATGAATTCATCTAAAAGGAGACCAACATAAAAAGGCAGTAAAATTTGTTATTCCAAGAATAGTGATTCTAGATAAATAGTTTGGCACACTGTCATATACATTTAAGATGAGAAATCATAATGTAATATAAAAAGGTCATAGGCTCTGATATCAGAAAGACCCAGGTTCAAGTCCCATCTCTGTTATCTAGGGATCATCACACTTGGCCAAGAGGTAAATCAACATAGAAATAGCAATATGTGACACTGACAACTGTGCTGACTGGCACACATGCAGTGAGACCATGGAAAGGATGGGGAGATATTGCAGCAGTCAGAGTTGACCCTATCCAATTGAGGGTCTAATATTCAGAACTGTGGTATAATCAGAGGGGTACAGAAAAGATCTATTCTTTTTTTTTTTTTTTTTTTTTTTGACAGGCAGAGTGGACAATGAGAGAGAGAGACAGAGAGAAAGGTCTTCCTTTGCCGTTGGTTCACCCTCCAATGGCCGCCGCAGCTGGCGAGCTGCAGCCGGCGCACCGCACTGATCCGATGGCAGGAGCCAGGAGCCAGGAGCCAGGTGCTTTTCCTGGTCTCCCATGGGGTGCAGGGCCCAAGCACCTGGGCCATCCTCCACTGCACTCCCTGGCCACAGCAGAGAGCTGGCCTGGAAGAGGGGCAACCGGGACAGAATCCGGTGCCCCAACTGGGACTAGAACCCGGTATGCCGGCGCCGCTAGGCGGAGGATTAGCCTAGTGAGCCGCGGCGCCGGCCCGAAAAGATCTATTCTTTAAATAAATGTTTCTTCTCATCAACTTTTTCCTTTAGGAATATGCTTCTAGGATGTCTAAACTAAATACTGCTGTAATATCTTCTTCAGGATAAGGTTTCTCAAGAAGTTCTCAATAAAAAACAAATATCTACAAAGCACAGAGTGACATATTCTGAATGTGTATTATTGTTCTCTCTCCTTTTCCCTGTCAGCTGTCAAGCAGGATGAGAATTTGGGAAAATGACTAAGGGTAGAAGGATTTCACAAGCCATGGATGGTGAGCAGCCTTCAAATGCAGGAAATCCTGAGCTATGCAACAACATGGCTGCCCTGGGAGGAAGTCATGGTAAGCGAAACGAGACAGCCTCAGAAGGACAGAAGGACAAGACTATACAATTCCATTCATAGGCGTTTTCTAAAATTGCCAGGCTCTTTGAAGCAGAGAGTAGAGTGGAGGTTGTGAGGGGATAGGGGGAGGGTATGTGAGGGTTTGTCGTTCGATGGTGTAAACCACTGATTATGCAAGGTGATGAAGTCTAGCTCTCTGCTCTAAGGCGTTGTGCCTACAGTGAACACTACTATACTACACGCTGAGACATTGGTGAAGAGAGGAGAGCGCATATTGAGGGTTCTTATCACAATGGCGGACGGAGGGAGAGATAGTAGATATGAGGAGGTGGCACTGGAAGAAGTTTGCTGAGACGGTTGAGCTCAAATGTCTGGGAGGACACTTTTCTTAGGCAGGGAGGGAGAGGGCTGTGGGTTGCTGGTCTGCTAATTTTTTTGAGATGCAACTGAATTCCTAAATAACTTAATGGTTGAGACAAATTTTGGAACACCAGCCAAGACAGACTGACAGGTAGAAACCTGAGTGTTAAGGAAGGTTTTCCTTTATCCACAGAATCAGCACATAAATTTTATTTCTGTAAATTAGAAGAAAAGTAGCAACTATGAAAGAATTACCTTTCCTATGAACACCGTTTTTATATACTTTTCAAATCCTGAAAGGTTGGATGAGATCTGGAAGACAAAGGGAAACTCTTGGCAAAAGTATCTAACCAACTCCAAAGCTGCAGGTTGTCAATCTCATGTGTCTTGTTACTCTGGCCTGCTGTCTAGGCCCTGGGAAATTGTACAATTTCCCTTAGAACTCCTAAGTGCATAAAAGGGCGTCATAGACCACATCGTTTGGCTCAGAGATGTGCTTAGGTCTCCATTTTAGTCCTTGGAAAGCCAAGTAGCTGAGTGTTAACTGCACTTCTGGCCAGCTGGCATTTGTGCTTTCAATAATAAGGTGGTTTTGGCACCACATTTTATCAACATGAAGGTCAGTGATATGAGTGACACATTTTTGCAGTCATTCTTAACATATGACCTCATTTTCAAAACAAGTGTACTTCAAAAAGTACGTGGAAAGATGGAATTGAAGGATAAACTTATTTGGGGATAAAACGTTTTGGAATCCATGCACACTAGGGGTCTTCGAATGGTTCTGGAAAAAGCATGTTCAGGGTATTAGCACCCATCAATGTCAACACAATAAACTTTAATAACTTCAATTTTTATTTACTTTCATTTAGGGCTTAAGTCTTTCAGCAAAAAATCAGAATCCTCTTGAGAAATTCTTCACATGCATGAGAAATAATTAAAAACAGAATGTCAGCTCTGCCACCTCAAGATTCTCAAAGGGAGAAAATCTTCAAAATTACACACAGCATCCACAAAAATCATCTTGAACCCAGGTATGATGTAGGCTATAAAGAATGTGAATAAGCAAGTATTGCTTGTTAATCTGGATAGCCATGATGATAGCCCAACAATCAGGGAATTGGTAAGCTGCAAGTTTAAGGATGCTGGAAGTCATACAGAAGTATGAATTGAATTGTTTGGCTTCCTGAAGGAAGAGTCCAAAGCTAAAGTTTGATTAGCAAATTTGGGGGAATCCTATTGCTGAAGTTGAAACTCTATACATCTCCACTTTCGTTGCTGCACTACATAGCTTCATACCCCCAGAATTCACAATGGGGGTCTGATTAGGAGTTTGTGCCTGCCATTCAGAGTAGCCTTGAATAGTTCTCAGCACAAAACTGTAAGTGGACAATTCATCCAGTTAACCTCATATCGCTACCTTTTAGTTTTGTTTTGTCTTGGTGTTTTTTGTTTGTTTGTTTGTTTGTTTGTTTGTTTTGGTGTATGTGATAAGAATACCTGCGATCCATGCTCAGCCAGTTTTGAGTATACCTTATTGTTTAGTCACATGCTCTACATTATGTCTCCACAACTTACCCATGTTAGTTAAAGTCACTTAGAGGAGAGAGCATTAATAGCCCACAGACAGACAAGACTGACCACATTCGGGGGCAAGTGGTCTTGATGTACATTGCTGCCAGACTGGGACTAGCCAGGTAAACATCACCATCTATGTTTCCACAAAGTGATTTATCTTGTTCTAATATAGGTAAATATTTTTTCCTTTAGCTACTTCTAATGACCAGATTTAGATAATCAAAATCTAGCCAGATGACATTGTCATAAAGAGAAAAGGAAGGAAGGGAGACTTCTCTCTCTGTCTTTTTAAATAAGATTTCCTTTTTAAAAAAAATTATTTATTTATTTGAAAGTCAGAGTTACAGAGAGGCAGAGGGAGAGACAGAGAAAGGTTCATTCCCCTAACAGCCACAATGGCCAGAACTGAGCCAATCTATAGCCAGGAGCCTGGAGCTTTTTCTGGGCCTCCCATGCGGGTGCCGGGGCCCAAGGACATGGGCCATCTTCTACTGTTTTCCCAGGCCATAGCAGAGAGCTGCATCAGAAGTGGAGCAGCCGGGACTTGAACCAGCACCGATATGGTGACTAAGCCATGGTGCCAGCCCCTAGAGACCTCTCTTTTGAGAATGAGAAGCCCCTAGCCATCTCACTGAGGTTTAAAGAGAGTTTCCAACCTAATTTATCCTCTTCTACTTATTTTTCCAATGTGACTGAAGAGAAAATAATTTAAAACTTCAATGTATGATAAGTCACATGTTTCAAAAGGTAGGTAGGTTGCAACACATTCTCTTAACCACCCAGGGATAACCAATGTATTGTAGATCTTTGTTTCAGTGATCTCACTAATCACTAGTGTAGGCTGCCTGAGTAACCTCTACTGGAATCCTATTGCCACTAGTTTGGTGATTGAATCAGTATAGGAAAGCTGAGTGATAGTGATTGGGATATCTGGAATATTTCATACACTATTAAAATAGGAGACTGATAGATGAGCCAAAGTATAGATGGATTTTTAAATGGTTTCAGTTTTTGAAATATAATTGGCCAATAAAATCATGTGTATTCAAGGTATAAAACGTGGTGTTGTGATATATGCATGCAATGTGAAGTGATTGCCACAGTTAAACTAATTCAGGTAGCCATTACTCCATATGGTTACCTTTTTAATGATAATGCTTATGATCTATGCTCAATTTAAGTTTACATTGTCATTAACTGTAGATACATGCTGTACCAAAGGTATCTAAAACTTACTCATGGTATAACTGCATGTTTTTATCTTGTGACCAACATCTCCTGATCTGTCACCCTACCTACCACCTCAGTACCTTTCTACTTTCTGTTTTTATGAGTTTGACTTGTATAGATTTTATATATAAGTTATATCATATACTATTTGTGACTTTCTTCTTTAGCATGGTGTGTTCCAGGTTGATCCATGTTGTTGAAAACAGGATTTTCCCAGCAGGACTGAGAGGTGACCAAAGCCACATAATGTCAGTAACTCGTTCATCCGTCCATGCCAAATGGATTGTGGGGAAAGTGATTGGGACAGCAATGCAAAAAACTGCCAAAGTGAGGGTGACCAGGCTTGTTCTGGATCCCTACTTACTAAAGTACTTTAATAAGAGAAAAACCTACTTTGCTCACGATGCTCTTCAGCAGTGCACTGTTGGGGATATTGTGCTTCTCAAAGCTTTACCTGTCCCACGGACAAAGCACGTGAAGCATGAACTGGCTGAGATCGTTTTCAAAGTTGGAAGAGTGATAGATCCAGTGACAGGAAAACCCTGTGCAGGCACCACCTACCTGGAGAGTCCAGTCAGTGTGGAAACCACCCCCCTAACCAAAAATCTGGAAGAACTCAATATCTCCTCAACACAGTGAAGGAGGGTTGGAAGGAGGAGCCAAAGGGAAAGACTGACACATTTGCTTTGTGGAAAACGAAATTTGCCTACCGTTCATCACACACCGTCCAGCGTCTGCTGTAGTATTTATGAAATAGCTAAAAGTAAATGAGGTAAAGGGCTTGTTATACCTTTTCGTAAAAGCTCATGATCAAGTTTCAGATTTTAAGTAAAGATACTTTTATGTTATGCTAAAAAAAAAAAAAAAGAAAAAAAAGAAAACAGGATTTTCTTCTTAAAGACTAAATAATATTTCAATGAAGCTCCATTAGTATGACAATAATATTCTACTGCCTATATGTAGTAGACTGAGGCTGATAGAATAAGTCTGGCTGTATGGCTTTAGTCCTTCTATTGTATCATCTCATATCTGTGTATATCTGCAGCTTTGATACCACTTGATTCCTTAGCAATCCAGGCAAAAGGTTTTTAAGTGAGTCATAACATCCCATGGGTGTCACTAACTGTAGAGACCACAGCCATGACTGAAGTAAAATCTTGGTCAAAAATGTCAGATAATGAATTTTCAAATGCCTTATAGAACTTTCAGAGGACCAATAGATTTGGTTTCTGACCTGCATTGCTGGAAGCTTAAGACAGCAAGTCTTGTCATTAGGTTTGTTTATGGAGCTGAGCATGGGTCAAAAGGCAACATCTAAGAAAGAAATTGACTAATAACAATACTTTCCAGTGGCATTTTCATCCAAAGTCAGCATTCAGAGAGAAGAATCCAGGTATGAAGCCACAGAACAAAGATAAGGTAAAGAGGTTTATTCATTTAATGAATATTTATAACATCTTCTGTTCAAGGCATACTAGGCACTGGGAATGTATAAGTTGACAAAAATCTGACAAAAGTCTCTCTCATGAAGGGTTTAACGGATGTGAAGGACACTCTGGGCTGCAAGGCATAGCCCCGTGGCTTTTCACAGAACATTTGAAGCCTTGGGCAGAGCTCCTTGGGATTGAAAAGCCTGATGGATGGGGTACATTCAATCTCCTGAACTGGACTTAACATCTCTCTTGACCTAGCTATCATTTAACATTTTAGCCTCAACTATTTTCATGCCTGTTTTCAAAATCACAGTGTTTTCCAGGTGTCTACACTATAAAGTTACACTTTTTCTTCCCTTGCATACTGCATTCTTTGCAAGAAAGCCACTTGCTGCAGGCCACACTTACAGGGATTTGTATCTCACATCCTTGAAGATGCTATGCGTACAGTTTGGAATTTTTATGCTCTAAAGTTTTTGTCCAATAATTTATTATTTTTTACTTTTTATATAATGGTAACAAATTTCTTTAAAATTTTTTTAAAATTTAAGGCATACAAATTTCATGTCTACAGATTAAAGAATATAGTATTACTTCCTGCCCTACCCTCCCTCCAACCCATGTTTCAACCCTTTCTCCTCCTTCCTCTCCTAATCGCTCTCTTAATTTTTACAATGATCTACATTCTGTTTACTTCATACTCATAGGATTAAAACTACACTAAGTAAAGAGTTCAACAAATAATAAGAAAAAACAACAACACTGTTCAGGTCTGTAAACAATCATTGAAGCTCAAAATGTCAATTTCATTCCTATACATTACATTTTTAGTATTCTGTTAGTTACTACAGATCAAGGAAATCATAGGGTATTTGTTGTCCGGGGTCTGGCTGATTTCACTAAGTATAATAGTTTCCAGTTGCATCCATTTTGTTGCAAATGACAGGATTTCTTTTTTATATCTGAGTAGTATTCCATAGTATATATATATTATAATTTCTTTATACAGTCATCAGTTGTGGACATCTGGGTTGATTCCATATCTTAGCTATTGTGAATAGAGCTACAATAAACATGGGAGTACAAACCACTCTTTTATGTATGCTGATTTCATTTCCTTTGGGTAAATTCCCAGGAGTGAGATGGCTGGGTCATATGGTAAGTCTATCTTCAGATCCCTAAGGTATCTCCATACTGTCTTCCACAAGGGCTGCACCAGTTTACTATCCATTTATTTAATGTTATGTTAATTTCAACATACTGTCATAATTGGGAAATCCCTTTATCTACTTGAGTCCTGTGCCTATCCATAATTTCTTTTACCTTTTAGTAATACAAACTACACTACTTTTCAGTGTTACTTCATTAGTACATTTTTAAAATCATTTCCTTCAGTGAGGTTGTTTCAGGGATTTGTAATAGAGTTGGATTGTTCTGTTGCATACTACTACACTGCTTCCTACAACTTCATAATTTTGAAAAAAATATTGCTTACATTAAAGTGTACTACATAATCCAAAATTCTATGGGATTTTATAAATGTACAAAGCCACATACCTCCCACTATAGTATTTTTTTTTTTTTTGACAGGCAGAGTGGACAGTGAGAGAGAGAGACAGAGAGAAAGGTCTTCCTTTGCCTTTGGTTCACCCTCCAATGGCCGCCGCGGCTGGCGCGCTACGGCCGGCACACTGCGCTGATCCGATGGCAGGAGCCAGGTACTTATCCTGGTCTCCGATGGGGTGCAGGGCCCAAGTACTTGGGCCATCCTCCACTGCTCTCCCTGGCCACAGCAGAGAGCTGGCCTGGAAGAGGGGCAACCGGAACAGAATCCGGCGCCCCGACCGGGACTAGAACCCGCCCGGTGTGCCAGCGCTGCTAGGTGGAGGATTAGCCTAGTGAGCCGCGGCACCGGCCATAGTATTATAAATAATAAATTAATCTTCCTAAACCTTCTCATGCTTAACTTGTAAAACACCCTCTGATATACTTAGATGAATAGCTACCATTTTTTGTCACTGTTTTCTAACCTTGAAATTTTTCTTTGCTTCTTTCTCCTTCTCTGTAGTTGAAAATTTTATGGTTGCATTTGACCTCTTTTCCTAATGTATCAGTTCTGTCTCCTTTAAACATTTTTTAGGCATTGCCCTATAATTTATTATGTATGTTTTTAACTAACCAAAGTCTACTTCCAAATAAGCCTTAAACACATCACACGTAGTACAGGGAACTTAAGGACAGAGAATGCCCAATTCCTCTCCCCCATCCTTTGTGAGATTGCTGTCATTTATTTTGCTTATCTCTCTGTTATCATCACACAATACATTGTCACTGTTTTGTTTAACAACCGGTTATTTTTTAGTAAATAATAAAGACCTTAAAAATCACGATTTTAAAAATCAAGATTAAACCAGAGAAACAAAACTGTAGGAGAGATAGGTGGAGATTTACTGCAAGGAGGTAGCCTATGTAACTGTGGAGCCTGTCCATGCGAGTCCAAAATCCACAAGGCAAGTGGTGAGGGAGGGCAGATTGGATTTCTGGATGCTGAAGCTGCCAGAGCTGAAGCTGAAGCTGTTGTCACCGATGGCATTTCTTCTCTAGAGAAACCTCAGCTCTACTCATAAGAACTTGTAACTGATTTGGGCTCATTGAATTATCCAGGTTAAGCTCTCTTATTCAAAAACAACTGATAATGGGCATAATCATATCTGCACCATAGCTTCACAGCAACACGTAGGTCAGTGTTTGAGTAACTACAAATTATAGCCTAATGAGGTGGCACAGAAAACATGATTATGCGTTCACTCACTCCTTCCCTGATGCTCTTCCTTTCTGCATTTGATCCCAGTTCCTTACCCTTCGCCTTCTCCTTCTGTGTAGGATTCTCTGCTGACGACGCTTTTGCCCAGCTTCATGTATTTCATTCTGTTCTTCTTATTATAAGCAACGTGTCCCCCCTCCCATCTCCTTTCTTCCTTTAGTTCTCTTATGACTTTGGTTTTTGGCAGTTTGAATATGATATGCCTAGTTGTAGGGTTTATGCTACTTGATGTTCTTTGAGTTTTCTAAATCTGTGGTTTAATATCTATCACTAATTTAGGAAAGCTCTTGGCCATTAGCACTTTTATCCCTTCTTCTTGTTGATTCTTTTTGTTTTTCTCTCTTCTGGTATTGCAGCTATATATTCTGACATCTTTGCACAGTGTCTCATATTTCTCACACATTCTGCAGTCTTTTCTAACATTCTTTCTTTCCTTTGAATTCAGTTTGTGAAGTTAAAATTGACCTATCATCAAGCTCATGGGTTCTTGCCTTAGCTATGTCCAGTCTACTAATAAGACCATCAGATATTGATCATTTTTTTGATCTAAGTTAACTTTATTATTATTTACACCCATTAAAGTTTCATTTATTTATTTGAAAAGCAGAGTTGCAGAGAGAGAGAGGGAGAGGGATCTGTCAGGTAGTTCACTCCCCAAATAGCCACAATGCCTGGGGCTGGATCAGGCTGAAACCCATCCATGTCACCCATGGAGGTGGCAGGAGCCCGAGTATTTGGGCCATCCTGCTCTGCTTTCTCAGGTGCATTAGCAGAGGGCTAGATCAGAAGTGAAGCAGCCGGGACTCTAATCATTGCTCCCATGGGATGTCAGTGTCTCAGGCAGTGACCTAACCTGCTGTGCCATTACACAGCTCCATGACTCTCTGCGTTTCTCTTAATGGTTTTTATTTGTAGCATTTCTTTATTTTAAAACATAATTCTTTATTATAATATTATGCCAAAGATTTTTATATTTCATAGTCTTTTTCAGTATCTTATTTTTTAAATTTTATTTAAGTTATACAAGTTTCATGTATTTTATAAATAGAGATTTAGGAACGTAGTGAAATGTAGTGTTAGTTTTTGATTATTTATTCTCTTTGCCTGTCTTCCCCACCTATTCTTATATGTTGTTCTTTTTAATAGAGCCCTTAAAGTGTTAGTCATGGTTATCTTAACATTTCAGTTTTTTTTTTTCAACAACTGTGTCACTTATGAATTTGGTACTGATTATTTCTTTGGCACAAAATAAAACCCTCCTCATGGAAAGAGTACATTAATGAAAAATAGGATGAACGAGGAAAACAGAATGCTCTACTTTTGGCAGTCAAAAGTGTGTAAGTTTAAACCAAGGTATATAAGTGTATCTTTAGTAAAACAATCTTTTTTAAAAAAAGGGAAAATAAGACATCAATCTAGATTAAATGATGACTTCTAAGATATCCTTATCTAATTCCTGGAAACTGTTGATGTTACATTATATAATAAAGGAGATTTTTCAGATGTTTTTCAGTTAAGGATATTGAAACAGTTGCTATCTGGGGTTATTCGCGTGGGTTTTAAATGGAATTTCAGATGTCCTAACAAGAGGAAAGCAGAGAGAGATCTGAGACAGAGAAGGAAATGCAAGACTTTGCACTGCTGGTTTGTAAGATGGAAGATGGGGCCAGAACCTCAGAAAAGCAGCTCTAGAAACTGGAAAAGACAAGAAGATGTGCAGTCCTATAGGCCCTGCCTCCACTGACCTTTGGTTTTGGATCTGGTGAAAACATTTCTGATTTCTAGTCTGCAGAATTATGAGAGAATACAAAGTTACTTCCAAATGTCATAGAAAACTGAATTGAGAGTTTATTTTGGGGGCCAGTACTGTGGCATAGCGGGTTAAGGCCCAGCCTTGCAGTGCCGACACCCCATACGGGTGCCAGTTGGAGTCCTGGCTGCTCCACTTCTGATCCCGCTCTCTGCTATGGCCTGGGATAGCAGTAGAAGTTGGCCCATGTCCTTGGGTCCTGTACCCATGTGGGAGACCTGGAAGAAGCACCTGGCTCCTGGCTTCAGATCAGTTCAGCTTTAGTCTTTGTAGTCATCTCAGGAGCGAGCAGGAGGATGGAAGATCTCTCTCTGTAACTCTGTCTTTCAGATAAATAAATCTTTTTTTAAAGTTTATTTTGGTACAAAAATCTTTGTAGGCCATGTATAGTTTATTAGTCATACACATCTTACATGAATGTGTTTTTTAAAATATTTATTCATTTTATTTGAAAGAGTTACAGAGAGGCAGAGGCAGAGAGAGCGAGAGAGAGAGAGAGAGAGAGGTCTTCGATCCGCTGGTTCACTCCCCAGATGGCCAAAATGGCTGGAGCTGCACCGATCTGAATCCAGGGGCCAGGATCTTTTTCTGAGTTTCCCATGTGAGTGAGGGGCCCAAGGACTTGGGCCATCTTTTACTGCTTTCCCAGGCCACAGCAGAGAGCTGGATTGGAAGTGGAGCAGCCAAGATTCAAACCAGTGCCGGTGTGGGATACCAGCTACACCAGAGTGCCATCCCCTTACATGAATTTTGAAGATCTCCAATAAATGTCTGTGTTTTCAGCCTCTAAATTTATGGTAATTGATGATAGCTGTCATTAAAATAACTAATATGTATGCCATCTCATTAGAAGAGATCTGAGTTGGCTATGGCGTCCTATGGGATTATAAGATTCCCCCCATCTAAACTGAAAACCTTTGGGAATAGAGAGGCTAAGGCCAAATTCTTTTCTTGGTCTTTGCCTAACTCTCTAACAATTTCCTCCATGCCAGAGAATATATTTTAAGTGGAGTTTGCCTGCCAACTAATTAAAAACTATTAAGCAAAAACAGTGATTCAAGTCTGGCTGGCTGTGTAGCTTCAAAGTTTTCAAGGTTGACCCTCTTAGCACAGCTGTAGAGCTGAATATTCCATAAACATTTAAAATACCATGACAGTTGCTTGAGATAAATTGACCATAAAAATCCTGAATATGATCAACATAAAAAAGGAGTACCTTTGAAAGGATGACATAAATGCCACAGGCTGGATACTTACCAACATATATGGAATGCTGTTAATTGGTTGAAATTTTTTGGAAATTAGAAATTAACAGATGGATTTCCAAGTTAGTTAAAAACACTTTTGAAGTAGTTTGTGAAAATGGAAAATGAAAATTAGAGGAATAATAGAGCAAACCTCATGAGGAGTTAAACTGAGCTAGTACAAATAAAATAATACATTTTGATGATATCCTTATCTAATGATATCCTTATCTGAGATATCCTTATCTAATTCCTGGAAACTGTTGATGTTACATTATATAATAAAGGAGACTTTTTAGATGTTTTTCAGTTAAGGATATTGAAAGAGGATGTTATCTGGGGTTATTTGGGTGGGTTTTAAGTGGAATCGTAGGTGTCCTAACAAGAGGAAAGCAGAGGGAGATCTGAGACAGAGAAGGAAATGCAAGACTTTGCACTGCTGGTTTGTAAGATGGAAGATGGGGCCAGAGCATGGATTTTAGGTAAATATGCCTCTAGAGAAATTAATGAGGGAATTAATATATATGTTCCCATGAGTGGCATAAAGTAATTTTAGTATTTAAAAAGGTGTAAATGTCTGTAACACATATCATCCTACTAAGAGTATCTTACCAAAGACCCCTATTTTATTCCAGTGAGTGACTAAAAAGCCTTCCTTTTGCATATGCCCCAGTGGACCACCTAAAACCCTTCTAAAAATCTAGGAATCTGTTCTGCCATAGTTATTTGCAATATATAGATGATCTCACATTGTACTTTCTACTTAATTAATATTCACAGGAGATCTATTGGAATTTCTGTTTCCAAGGAGCTCTGTGAATTTGAGGTTTATGGACAGTAACTTGATCTGATCTATTATAGTCATTTTGTATTAGTTATGTTTGCTTTATTACATCAAGGAAATAGGTTGAATTGAAAGGATGATACTGTTGTGAAAGCATGCATCCCAATAGGCTGCTGAAAACACTTTGCCAGTACAACTTGATATTGTGTGTCTATGTATGTGTACGCATGTGCAGGCATTTATGGATTTTTTAATGATAGGTAGGAGGAACCATTTATCCTTCTCAAAATTTCCCTGTCCCATTGATTAAACAAAAAACTAGAATAACTCAAATATTATATAAACATAATGGGGTCACACTTTGCTTTCCATATTCCTGCTTTTGTATAATGTAAACCCCACACATTTCCTGTTCACGATATTTTGTTGACACCTACTTTTTCTACTTAGTAATTTAGTCACTTTTACTACATTAGTTAAAAATCATGAAGCTGGGTCAAGGTAAGGAACTTATTATATGAATGTGAGAGTGTAGTGAGGATGGTGCAGCCTCATTACACGAGTCAATTGTAATGGCATCTGATTTCATGTATGTTAGTATGTATGTATTGTCTATGTAACTATAGTTATGCCACAAGAAAAATAATAGTTCACACAGTGTGATAATTGTTGAAGTAAGATTATTTGTAGGGGCCAGCACTGTGGCATAGTGGGTTAACGCCACAGCTTGAAGCACCTGCATGCAAATGGGTGCCAGTTTGAGACCCTGCTGCTCCACTTCTGATCCAGCTCTCTGCTATGGCCTGGGAAAGCAGTACAAGATGGCCCAAGTCCTTGGGCCCCTGCATCCACATGGGAGACCTGGAAGAGGCTCCTGGCTCCTGGCTTCAGATCAGCACAGCTCTGCCATTTTGGCCATCTGGGGAGTGAACCAGTGGATGGAAGACCTCTCTCTCTCTCTCTCTCTCTCTCTCTCTCTCTCTGCCTCTCCTCTCTCTGTGTAACTCTAACTCTGACTTTTGAACAAATAAATAAATCTTTAAAAAAAAGATTATTTGTAGCAAATTGTGTTGATCCACTGACCCTTCAGAATTTCTGTTCCAGCAGCCAAATCATCCTCTTTGCTTGTGTAGACATGGTAGAGACATGGCCAATGCCATGGACATTTAGCAAGCTGATGTGTAGGTTCGTAACCAGGTCAGCTTTGCTGTCGGTCCTCTTCCAACCTTGGCCTAGTCAGTTGGGCTTCCACCTTCCAGTCTCAGGAAGAGCGCCTTAGTCTGTCTTCTCTGTATGACTTTTACATACAGGAATCCTGCGGAGGACCTCAGTTCCTCCACGACCCGAGTGTTCCTTGTTCCTCCTGATCTTCTCAGGTCTGGATTCTATTTGTCTCTGAAGCCCAAGCATTAGGTCTTGACCCTACTTCTTTGGGGTCAGACTTCTCTGCCTAATTTCCTAGGTCTTTACCTCCTTCCTGGAACAAGAGACACACACAGTCTTCATGGAATTGTGCTCTGTCTTCTGAGACTCCCCTTTTGCAAGTTCACAACAGCAACTCTTTGCTGCTCTTAATCTACAGACTCTGAGAATCTTTCCTGGCTACCTACTGTATCTACATCATTCCCAAGCCAGAGGAACAACATTAACTGACATTTCTATATCTGTAAGCAAAAGACAGAAGCAACCTTGAAAAAATATTTCTTCATTTTTTAGAAACATTTGATATTTTATGAAAGAAATTAATGTGTACATCAAAAACATTATGTAATGAAAAGTGAACATCCCACTTTCTCCTGTGATAGCACTCGGTGGAAAAACCAGAGCTAACAGTCTACCAGGAGAAATCACATCTTAGAATCACAAGAGGAATTTCAAAATTATTGGTAGTTATTCTCCACTCAATGGTGTGCTGCTTATTTTTAAACAACTGTCCCTGTGTGAGTAAGGGTAGGGGACAGTATATTGTTTGTAGCAATTGGTGATGACTCATGAATAGTCTACCATGAAAAATTGAAGCCATCAGCATGAAATTGTGAAGTTAACAGGCTGATGAAATTCCTGGGAACCTTGACTTCAGACAACCACCACTGCCTCAAGCCCTGTCCTACCTCACTAATAGTTAAGCATAACCTCTGGGAACTAGAGGAGGATAAATATGTCTCTCACATAACCCTTGAGAGGAATTGTTTAGACATGAATTTGTAGCCCAATTCTGTCACTTAGTATCTATGTAGCCTTGAGGAACTTGCTATGTCTCCATTTAATCTAGCTTGCACAGTAGTTATGCCTACCTCATAGGATAACTATAAACATTAAATGAGTTTATATCAAGCCTTTAGATCAATTCCTGGCCTGTTAGCCACTGTTAGTCCCTCAGAGCTGAGTTTCTTCCACTGACTGAGCTGCCTAGAGGACTGTCCATATCTGCATGGTAATATCTATATGTAAAGAGTTGTCCAAAGAAGTCCATGGGCTCATATCGGGAAGAGCTTAAGGTGATCCTAGGTCAAGAATGGAGGTTGAAAACAAATAAAAATTTTAATTACAATGACAAATAAAAGTCATAGAACATTGTAAAGCACTATTTGCTCCAGACCGGGGCGAATAGGTTAGAGAGCATTTGATCAGCTTTCGATATTTCCTATGGAACTACTCCAACCTGGTGAACCTGGCTTAAAAATTGCATGCTGCTTTGGCAGGGTACATCCTGTAATGGCATGCTCTTTTAGAGTTGCGTGCCTCCACAGCATATGAACGGGCTTGGGCTTTGATGAATACTGAAAGCAGAAATCAGTCCCTTGAAATGAATTTCTGAAGAAGAGCTTAAGGGTTTGGATCCATTTCTCCTATCATTAAAAAGTTTGCTCTCTTAAGGAAATCCTGCTCACTTTAAATTATAGAAATTTAGAGCCAGAAGGCACCTTAGAGATCATTCCTTATTCTCCTAAAAGGGAGGAACGTGTTGCTAACTAGGTCTGAGGTTTAATCATCAAGTTCTGAACAAGACCCTGGCATTTTCTAGTGCTCCTAGGATCTCTGTTTCCCCTTCCTCAACTGAAACTTCTGAAAGGATTTTTAAAAATTTACTGAATGTTCTTGTTAACCACTCTTTGCTAGGTCACTTTAAACAAAGGAGACCTATTGATTAAGAAAATAAAGAACAACAACAGAAGGTCACTTCTAAATGATGGTATTGGATCGGCTTGGAATAATGTCCTTTAGAGCAATATGGTGTTTTCAGTGGAATGTAGGATGCACCTGCAAAGCCTGTTTTGGTCAGTGCTAAGGGAGAGGGAAGGATCCATCCTGTGTAGATAATCCACGTTCCCACAGCTCTTTGCCTTCTGAAAACTTGTTTACAGTGGAAGAAGTAGGATACCAGTAAGTCACAATTGCTGTGTAGGCAGCCCAGCAGAGTAGCAATTACGTTCCCAGCTTTGGGCATTTTCTTCTGTGGTTTATACATCTTGAATTTCAACTTTTAAAAATGTTCTTGAAAATTCCACAAATGATGTGAAATATGAGGGAGGGGAGAGACATGAGCCCGTATTTTTTAAAGGTCTTACTTCACCCAGGATGCAGGGAGCAATGGTGAGTTCACCCAAGAAGCCTCATGACAAATGTGGAAGTTAAGTTTCACATTGTGTTCGAGTCCTTGGGTTAATATTTAGCAAAATTGGTTTGCAGAGTTGGGTCCGGCTCCAGACCTCTTTGGTCAACATTTTTAGATCCGTGCTGCTTGTGGAAGTCATGGATGAGCACAGGATTGGTATAAGGGCATTGCCTGTATAGGCATCTGCTTTGCATTCTGCAAGCTCCGTTGAGGGTAGAAGTACCATCTTAATTATCTTTCCACTGGAATGAAATGCTCTTGTTCTGTAGTAACTAGATATTCTGACATTGACACAAACCTCATAGCTAATTATAGGCCCAATCAGGCTTTCAAAGATTGGACTTCTCAGCTGGAAATTAAGTAGGATTTCACACTAAGTACCTGCTTGGCACTTAGTAGTTGGTAAATAAACATTAGTTTTCTTCTCTCTCTTCATGTAGCCCTGAAGGTGGGACAAGGCTATGTGTGGAGAGGAGCTGGGTTGAAGTGGTGATGTGTTCTGGGGTTCTTGAATATACCAGGAGGTTTATTTACTACAATGGAAAAAAATCACAGTGTCAGACTAAATCCCTTAGGATCAAATGTGCTACCGAGCATTGTACTCAGAATTTGAACATCATTTACATTATTGCCTCCGAGGAAATTCAATGACTCCCAAATAATGTATAATACATTTTTGACCAGCAGAGCCCACATCATAGTCCACTCATCTCAGCACTTCGGGTGATAGATGTTGCAATTTATTCAAAGAGTTATGATTTTCTGAGGAAATGGTGACTCATTTAATGGCTTAGATATTCACTCTTTAGAACCTGTGAGGTGAAATGTTCATGGTACAAGTTTACGCAGGAGGTATTACCATGCTGAGTGCTTACTGAACAAGGTTTCAGCTGGGAAGTGTATTCCAAGGCAATACACTGGATGGTGTTTGCAAACACCTACTACACTGCTTACGTGAGAAGCAGAATCTAGAGAACTCTCCCTTAAACGGTACCTAATCTTAAGTTCTTGCTTTAAAAAATACACAGAAAGTCTGCACCCAAAGGCAGTTATCATTTCTTTTTTTTTAGGTTTATTTATTTGAAAATCAGAGTTAGAGAAGGAGAGGCAGAGAGAGAGTTCTTCCATTTGCTTGTTCACTCCCTAATTGGCCGCAACAGCCGGAGCTGTGCTGATCCGAAGCCAGGAGCCAGGAGTTTCTTTCAGGTCTCCCACATGGGTGCAGGGGCCCAAGGACTTGGGCCATCCTCCACTGCTTTCCCAGGCCATAGCAGAGAGCTGGATCAGAAGAAGAGCAGCTGGGACTCAAACCGGCGCCCATACGGGATGCTGGCACTTCAGGCCAGGGCTTTAACACACTGTGCCATAGTGCTGGCTGCAGATGGTTATCATTTCAAAAGAGGTGTGAGGTAGGCAGAAGAGAGACCAAGCCAGCTGAAGAAGACAGCTGCTTGCACGGCTCTACAAGGTGTGTGTTCCGTGGGCCAGGCTGCAGTAGGAAGCTCGCAGAAGGCAGGTCCCATCTCAGTCTCAGCTGGGAGAATCAGATGCACAGAGAGGCTTGAAAAGACGTGCGGGGAAGGTTCTCCCTGCCACTTCTCTGAGGCCGTAGAGGTAGCTCTCCCCACCCCCACTATATTGCAGGTGCCTGCTGGCATATGTGACTGGTTGAACTCGGGCACAATGAGAGCCGTCACGTTTTTCTCCTCACTCAGTTCTCCCACACAGAATTCTTGGTGCTCTAGGTGTGGGTGGAAACAGCTAAATGTGGCTTCTGGGTGATGAGGAAACTATAGTTTTCCTTTTGTTTGATCAAGATGTGGGAAGAAGCCATTGGAGGCATTCAAAGCAGAAGAAAACCTAAACAAACAGCACTCCAAGAGAAACCCGAAATCAGAGGGAAGAGAAGCAAACAAGCTGCTGACGCTGAGGGATCCCATGGAAATGTGCTTCGTCAGACTTTCCTAGCCTACGAAAAATCTTGTTTCTGTTCTGTCTTGGTAGGCTTCGACTCTCGGTACACTCTGCCATCTATTTTTCGGTAGGTTTCATATCCCTGACCTAATGATGTTTTATGCTGACATTCTATTTGCGGTAATGTTGTTTGAGGTTGGCATTAGGGGATGTTTTGGAGCTCTCTGTAGGGAGTGATTGATTCTCTTTCTATAGTCTGAAGTGAATTCCAGCAACCAGATGGGTGTCTGGAGATGAGAGGAAGGAATTACAGCCTGGGGAACTCTAGAAATGCATCGGTGTGAGGTGTTGCTGAAGTTCCTCTCAAAGGAAAAGCAAAATCTTGGATAAAGATAGGGAGGAAGGGAGCATGCTGCATCTCACATTCCTTCTCCAAAATGCAACATGACTTCATCAATCTGCCTTTACAAACTTCATTCCATTTCTCAGAACAAAACTGGGTATTCTTATTTATGATGTGATTGGAAATGTAAGCACTGGAGGTGGAAATGTAGGTGGGAAAGGTTGGCAAAAGCTGTAAAGGAAGGGCTCAAAATATTTATACAGCAATTTATCAGACATGGATGCCAAGTGTTTAAGAACAGTTACTGTTTGCAGCCGGCCAAGAAGTGAAGTCAATGAATTAAGTTCTCCCTACACCCAACCCACCTCCCAAAAAAGGTTTACAGGTGGCAAACAAGCATGTCAGAATCAATGGGACTTAATTCTTGGGCAGGCCACTACTTGGAAAACCTGTACCCCACATTAGAGTGCCTGGCTTCCAGTTGTACCTCTACTTCTGATCCAGCTTCCTGATAATGCACACTCTGGGAGGCAGCTGGTGATTGCTCAAGTACTGCCATCTACGTAGGAAACCCAGAAGGAGTTTGGGTCTCTCCACACTTAGGGCTGGCCCAGCACTGGCTGATGTGGCATTTGGAAGTTAATCAGAGGATAGAAGATGAATCAATATCTCTCTCTCTCCCCCTCTTCCCCTCACCCCTTCTTCCCTTCTCTCCTTTTTTCCCTCTCTCCTTTTCAAAGAAATACGAATAAACCAAGAAGCACTTAAATGAAAGACTTAATGAGACTCCCAGGGGTGTTGAATCAGATTGAATATATTCATCTTATTCTAGCTGGATAATCTTGAGATTTCTTTATTGGTAAAAAAAAAAATCAGCATGTTATGTAGTACAATAGAAATAGTGTATATTTTTCAGTAATAATACAATGATAGGATTGGTAAGATCATGGGAGTGATTAGATATTGTGATAAGGGCATTTTTGATTTTTTTTCATCACAGTTTAACCATATACTAGTTTTCTCTTTTTCTAGGAAAATATAGTTGTACTTAAAAATCCAAAGCTAATATTGATGAAAGGATATATATATTCATGTGCATTAAAACACTTCATTTTAGAGTTTGTTTTATAAGTAAGTTTCCTTGTGCATTTAAAGTTGAATTTCTTCTTCTACAGCTTTTCAGAAAAATCTTTTTTTATAAGATTTTATTTATTTGAGAGGTTGAGTTACAGACAGTGAGAGGGAGAGACCGAAAGAAAGGTCTTCCATCAGCTGGTTCACTCCCCAAATGGCTGCAATGGCCGGTACTGGGCTGATCCAAGGCTAGGAGCCTGGAGTTTCTTCCAGGTCTCCTATGTGGGTGCAGGGGCCCAAACGCTTGGTCCATCTTATGCTTTCCCAGGAAGTAGCAGAGAGCTGGATTGGAAGATGTGCAGCTGGGACTAGAACCGGGCCTCATACGGGATGCTGGCGTCACAGGCAGAGGATTAACCTATTGCACCACAGTGCCAGTCCCTAGAAAAATCTTAGTTCTTGCTCACAGAAGCTCAACAAATACTTGCTTGCTGCTTATTCAAAGGATTTAAAAAGACAAAATAATGATGGGAAAGATCACTTATTATCTATGAAGTGTTGAACATTTTATTTAACTGCACTGCTCTAATTTAATCTGTAAAGGAGAAGTTGAGGTAGATATTTCTAACACAGAAATATCCACTTTTATACTCTAGAGGTCTATAATTTTGTTATATACAAGACAAAAATTTCCTAAATAAAATCCTCTCCACACTACGTGAATGTATTTCTATGTACTGGAAGATAAGCTAGCTAGAGAGAAGAGGCGTCTTTTCCAGTCTCCTCTTTCTTTGTCTTTAGTCTTTGTAGTAGTCTTGCTATGTGGTGTGATGAGAAGGGGAGAAACAAGTGAAGCTGTAACAGAATCCCAGGTCCTTTTGTTCCAACAGCACAGTCACAAGTGTTAGCCATCTTTCAATACCCCTTTCCACAATTTTCCACAATACTCCCCAATTAAAACATCTTTATTCCTCTTTAAAGAAAAATTAACCAACTAACCTTAAAACAAAACTACTCTCCCCAAAATATTTGGGTCAGCATATGTAACAAAATATAATCAATAAATTATAATCAATCAGTTGAATAAGAGAATGGAAATAATTGCTCTATCAGATGTGTTATGCTCTTTATTTTTACACTCATCATACCCTCATGATTCTGTGATGCTGGGGATTGTATTTGGCTTATAGAATAATCAATTCTAGAAGCTTAGGGGAGGCTTGGATACTCACACATGATTTTCTTGTTTTCCATTTGTATTCAAATTCAAAATTAATTTTGTATTTTATATTTTACTAGCTAGGCAATATTTTTCTCCATTTTCTACAGGAGGGAATTTATGTGTAATTTTAGTCCAATAAGCAATCCTCCAAAATTCATGTAATTTATCAAAAGATGACATTGTTATAATAAAGAATGAATGGCAATGTCCAACCACTGTTGGCAATATCCAGAGTGCCAGCCCTCCTCTTTGTTCATCTAGCACACTATTTGCTTTTCTCCAGTAATCTGTTCCTCAGCCTCAGTGCTAGGACACTGGGTACTGTTTTGTATTTCCAAATATACTTTCACATACTTACCTCTAGAAATCCCATATATATTACATTAAGAGATTATGTTTCCATCTTATAATTTGTATTTCTGTGTCTGCTATACTGCTTTGAACTTGTAGATACAATCAACTTAGTACCATGCATAAGTAAATTAGAGGCTATGAAATATGGAAAGGAATGGCTATGAGATGGAACTGGCGGAAATGGTTTATTTCAAGAATGAGTAAAAGTTGCTAATGAGAGAGAGGGAGGGAGGGAAGCAGGAAATGGAAAGAGAGTAAAGGGAATTATAGGAAGCAAGAGTGATAGAGAAGTTAAAATAATTTACAATGTGAAGTCAACAGGGTTAAACATCCATTTTTAAAGCAGTCAACAAATGCTGTAGAAAATGTACTTTATTAAAAATCTGCAATTACAAAACATGTGTTCATTGTAATTGGCAAGTAACAAATAGATATGCTTAAAAGATCATTTCCCTTATTCCTGCTTGTTCAAAATTAGTACTATATATGTGCTTGATTTTAAATATCCATTAAGACTTTAGTAGTGTCCATGCAAAGACATAAACATACAGGATTTTGTTCATTGGCTCTTGTGAAAAATCTTTTTATCATAGCACATCCATTCACATGCAAGTTAGTAATAAATCTTGGATATTCCTGTAGGTATGTAGGTATCTATTGTCTTTCTTTCCCCTGTTCTTTTCTTCTTTGTTTTTTCCAAGAACTACATCTGCAGAATAGGGACTGCACAGTCCCTTACATTTTTTGTATATTAATGACATTTACTTGTTTTCAGAATTTTAAAATCATTTATTTATTTATGAGAGAGAGGGAGAGAGAGTTATAATGAATGAATGAAGATCTCTTCCATCTGCTGGTTCACTCCCCCAGTGCCCATGACTGTGGCTGAGCTGGGGCCAGAGCCAGGAGCAGAGAACTCAGTCTGGATCTCCCATGTGGGTGCCAGAGACCCAGACACGTTGATTACCTTCTGCCTCCTTGGGTATACTTTAGCAGGAAGCTGGAAATGTAGCTAGACTCGAACCCAGGCACTCTTTTGTGAGATGTGGTCGTCCCAACCAGCACCTTAACCTTCAGGGCAAATGCCTGCTCATCCAGAGATTTTATTTCTTATTTGTCTCTTCAAAAATTGTTGCAACAATCATACTTGTACTTAACATTATGCTGGTGCTTTTTTTTTTTGTCTCTGCAGGGTAGTTTCTCTAAAGTGAAATTGTTTAGTTAAAATGTATTTTGAACATTAATAGCAATTGCCAAATCACTTAATGTTAGCTTTCTATGAGAAGATTAAATAAATTGTGTTCCCAGCAATAAAGCACATGAGTATCCATTTTCTCATATGTACGTCAGCTCCACATGCCATAAATCTTTTTATTTTTGCAGTTATGAATGAAAAAATTGATGTTAGTTTTCAATTTTCTGAGTTTAGTGAGCTAAGCATCTTTTTGCGTTTATGACCAATTGTATTTCATTTTCTATAAATTTCCTGTTTATAGCTTTGTCTGTTCTACTTTCATTGATTCTCTTTATTTTCATATCAGAGGCTTGCTTTTTCCTGTGGGATGCAGTAGCCCTTTGTCCTGTGTAAATGCTTTCCTAGATAATTATTTTTATTTTTGTTGACAGTAAATTTATAAGATAATGTTACTTTTATGAAACCAAAATGTCTATCTTTTTAAATTGATTACTTCAGGTAATTAAGTTTTGCATAAGAAGATTATCTTTGCCTCAGAGTTGTGAAAATCTCAACTTTCTAATTTAAAAAACTTAACAGATATTTTTGCATTAAAATTTTGTCCATCTGGAATTCATTTGGACATATGGTGCGAGGTAGATGATGTAGCTTGTTTTCTTCCAGACAGATAGCCAATTATACTAAGATCATTTATTAATAACCAATTATTTCCCACTGAGTTAAAATGCCACTTCCACTTTGATGAGTTTACTTATGTACTTTGTCTTGTTCCCTGAATCTACTTGTCTATTTCTCTGCTTTAGATTATTTGATTATAGTGGCTTTTTAGTAAATTTAAATATCTGAATATATATTTCCCTTGTCACATTTTATATTCACAATATTTTTTCTGTCAGGGACAACATTTTTATCTTATGAACCTTAAAACTTATCCTCTGT